ATTTTTTACGCGGGTTGCGTAGAATAATGAATTCCCTTAAGTCTTAACTGAACTTTATAACATACTTTTTTATAGTACATTTACTACTAATATACTGTAATATGATTTGAACTTTGAACAGATATCTTTATTTAATCATTATTAGAATTTGAATTAAATCTCAGGTCCACAATGGTTGTCATAAAATTTATAACATATAGACTTGTATTACTTATCTCCTGGCTAATTAGGAATAAGTAAAATTTTACTATTCCAATTAGCCAGGAGATAATTGATTTATCCCCTGCCATTTACACAATAGTAAGTGTTTTATAGTATATCGTGAGTTTAATATAGTTTATTTTATTGTTGTATCTTATTTTTCTTTCGCTTGGTTTTTTTTTTCATTTTAAAAGATTTTAAAAAATAATTGAATTTTAAAATGCTTCGGAACTATTACTAATACACTTGAAAAATAATATTGAGATTACAAATAAATTAAAAGAAAGTTTTTCTCATTTGGAAAATGCAAATCTTTCCGAATTACTCAAATTTTCAAATCAGTCCATTATAGTATAATCAATAGTTAATTTTTACCGCAAAATTTCCTAGAAACGGATAAATAAATACATATAAAATTTGCTATCCAGTAGGTATAACTACATTTGCATAATCGTGTAAATGGTGCCGATCAGGGGATAAAACGTATTAAACCACCATTTATTTCATTCCAGATTCATTAATTATTGCATTTTACCACATTCAATCAATATTAATAATTTAAGAATTAACAACAACTTCATATGAATTTATTTTTGTAATTAATCTATTGAATTTCTTTGGGTTTTAACGGAATTAAGGTTATGGTAGTAACAGAATTTTTAAAAGATATAATCTTATTAAATTTACACTGAAACTTTTATTTGTTACATATGATCTTACGATACATTCTTTAAAAATATTTTAATGATGTAATAAATTTGTTAAAAATTGAAAAATTACATTTTCTCGTAGAGATTAAAATTTTGAATTAATCTTATATAATTTATCTCCTCCAATGCAACATCTCATTGCATGTTTACGAGTTAACGTAAATAGCGATTGAGCATCCTTAACCTGTACCCGGGTATAGGTTATTATCCTGTACCCCTTTTTTCTTAAATATGAGCCCAAGATGTGGCACATTCGATCATTATTAGCCACAGGGCAATTGTACAACATTTTCTAAGAAAATATTTTTGCTGTTTACGCGCGAAAAAATATAAGAGAAAGAACTTCAAAATATTTTAATTTCAAATATAACAAGAACCAAAACTTTAATATTTTTAATATTTTAACATTGCATTTCAAATTAAAATAAAATGTTTTATATATAAAGTTTTAATAAACAAATATAAATACTAAAAATTTTTACAGAAACTTTAAACTAAAATACTTTTATTTGTCAATAAATACTCTAACTAAATTTAATGTCCAAATATTCCAACACCTACTGAACAATTCTACTTATTTGACAATAGCTAGTATAGTTAAATAAAGTGATGAAATTATTCTGTAAAAAAAGGTATTATATACGCGCACAGTAAAATATTTACTCAATAATCATAAAAATTAATATCTGGATACTTCATACCTGCTGAACAACTTTACTTATTCAATAAAAGCAAGTTTTGTTTGACCAAAATGCTTAAATTACGCCATAGTATTTATATGAAAAGTTGAATATATTACAAATAGTGAAATAGTGAGTATAGTATACAAACTAGCTTGGAGAAATATCTGAGTAGTTTCATACCTGCCGAATAATTTTACTTATTTAACAAAGCCATATTATTTGGTTAAAATAATATATATATATAAAATAATACTGAGATTTCTGTACAAAAAACAAGATTTAATGTGAAAATTATTCTCAACTTTACAAATAATACACTATATATAAGCCAGTGTTTAAGAATATTTCTTTTTAAACTTTTAAAAATATTTTTAAAAAATAACTGAAAAGAAGAGAAAAGGAAGAGAGAAGAAAAGAAAAAAATGTGTACTATGTTTACTAAAAGAGTGGTAGATCTAAGACTATTACAAATAAAAGTAGATGGCATTTTCATGTGAAATAACTAATATATGTGTATAGAATCCAGATCTTCATCCCCTACGAGACCTCACTCTTTGATCAGAACTATTCGAAAAAATGACTACGCTATTTGATCGAAGGGGTACCTCAAAAAAAACCCTCTGAAGAAATAGCTAAAAGATCTAAAAAGAAACAAAAAAAATAAAATTAGCAATGAGACGAACAAAAAAAAAAACTACAAAAAAAGAATTCAAGTCATCATTTGTATTTTCTTTTAACTAATAAAAATTAGCTATTGTATGTAAATACTGTCATATACAAAATGTTATAGGTTAATCAGGTCCATAATTGTTTTTTAAGGTGTGATCTATTTTAATAAGGGTTTAGTTGAAGGCCCAGGGATAGATAGACCTATTCTATTTTTGATGCTATATGCAATCTTCTTCTTGTGGTCGTTGGAGTGCTTTGTGTTATCAATAAATTGGTTAAAGAAGGTGTTGGGATTATTAATGATGTTTCGGTGTTGTGATGAAATAATGAAAAAGGAGGAATCATCATCCGTCCGAGGTAAATTGTCTATTATCAACAGATGAGACCGTCTTTGGAGGTAATTGTCATATAATTCTTTGGCTTTTGTATAACCATAGTTATATTGAGGTATGGAGGTAACGTCAAATCAACGTCTTACTTTATAATCAAAAAGGTTAATATTGTAAATATTGAGATAGTATAGGCGAGAATTGCCTACGTTATTAGGAGGTAATGGTGGTAATTTCTTTTTCTTTTTGTTTTATTTTTTGGTTCTTCGCAACCAATTCTTGGTGTGACATATAAAGGTATGCTCATTTTCAGCATTACAGGGATATACTGTACCTCTTTCTACAAAATGACTTAGTTGTTTAAAAACATTAGGTGTGGGAGAATTCTCTGAACGTGCGATTAATATATAAGGCCAAATATAATTTGAATGACGCTCTGTATTAAGTATTTTTTTTTTAAAACGGTTCCACCATTTTATTTGTTGAGGAGATTGAACAATGTCGTATTTTGTAATACAAACGAGTAGTTGGGATGCCTTTTTCGTGACAATTTTGGTAGGTTCCATTACTTCTTTAAGGTGAGGATCTGATTTCCTTCAGTGTTCATTGTATTTCTTTATAATGACTTCATATTTCATGCCCAAACGTGTTGAATGAACTTTTTTTGCAAGGTTATGTCCAGTGCGACTCAGGTTTTGATAAAAAGTCAGGTTTTTAGGAAACTTTTCCTTTGGTTGATCATCAAAAAGAACTACTGTTAATGAGCATAAATGTTCATTACAGTGTCAACAGTTTTGTGATAAGATGAATGCTGCGGGTTGAGAACAATTAATTATTGTTCCATAAAAACCTAGAGAGGTATCACAAGGTAAATAAAATTCAAGATTAATCACTGGAACTGAACAGAATAAAAGTTTTTGTTTGTCTATTTTTAGAGGACTATGAAGATAATCTATTTCTGATAGCCACTAATTTTTCTTTCAATAACTGGCGTAAGCATTTAAAATATTTATTAACAGTGTCTTGTGAGAATTGTCAATTGATAGCAAATGTAAATGTGAAGTATGTTCTGATAAGGTAATCAATGTTGAGTTTCTTACTAGTTGAATTGAAGATCCTTTGTGAATCATATCAATATCATTGGTGTAAACAAAAAAAAAGATCATTTTTTGATAAAGAAAGATCAACATTTTCATCTAACTTGATGAGAAAATATCTAGATTTTACAGTGTGCCACTACCATGTGTATCTGATACAACATAGGGGTTGAATTTTTTAGTATAAAAGGAAAAGTTTTAAGTTTTACAAGAATAATATAGGTAAATGAGCTTTGGAGCCTTCCTGAGGTTCCTTAGGGGTAGTCTTTTCTGCACATAATTCCTTTTAAGAGGTTTTCATAATGTTAGAAGGAGTATAAAGGTATTTGTAAATACCATTGTGGTTAAAGTTGTTCCTAATTTTTTATACAGAAAACAATAGGAAGAAAATATGACAAAAAGTAAAAGAAATGGTTTAATATTATTAAAAGCATAGTTTGGATGTAATAATGACACTCTTTTTGAGGGGTATAAGTGGAAACGAAAGTTTTTTGTAATAAAAATAAAATGTCTAACTTTGTAAAATTTTGTTCCAAATTTTTGTGGGAAAGAGTTTTTTTTTAGTCAAAAATGTGTACTATGTATAACATGTAAACGATAAACAGGCTGTCATGCTACTATCACATAGGGAGAACAGGATATTATCGTAATACCTCTAAGATTCCCCATAGTGATTTACCAATTTACCCCAGTAATGCCACAAAAAATTTCCACCTCAACGTAATTTTTGACCGGCATTATATTTCTCGGCCAGCATTAAGAAATTAAGCATGTGACAAATAAGCATGACAAATAGGATTTTACACACTGAAAAATCTGTTCCTGGAATACATACATAGTAAAAATGGAAAACAGGAAGGGTGTGAAACTGGTGACAAATTTTTAAGGTCACGTGGGGTGGAAATTTTTTGTGGTGATACTGGGGAAGATCTTCCCCAGTACACCCACCGCGTTTTCACTGTTTATATTTATCTGAGGGACTTAGTTTTTTTTTGCCTCACAAAATTATTTTTTTCACATCCCTTTAAATGTCACCGGTCACGTGGGGTGGAATTTTAATTATAAAAGTGTCGGTGATACTGGGGTAAATAGTAAATACTGGGGAAGAGCCCAGTCACGTGGTGAAATTTTAATTATAAAATTGGTGGTACTACGGTAAAATCGGTAAATCGATTTACCTATTTGAACACGTGATCGTAATTGACCTTTGGCCTATTAATTTACTTTATGGAAATAATTTTAGCCGGTTAATGGTTACCTTGTGACCGGAAAAAAAAATATTTAAGGTTTGAAAATAAAAAAAAAATGAAATTTATTTTATTTCAATCTACATCCTTTTATAATGGTTGATAATAAACTTTTGACAAAATTATCACAAAATTTACTTGAGATTTTAAACGATGAAGAATATTATGATATTACAATTGAAGTTGGTAACGACCCTTACGTAAAAGTATTTCGTGCTCATATGGTTATTTTGAATTATCGTTCTCCTTATTTAAGAAGAATTTTATCAACAAATAAAAAGAAAAATGACGGAACTTTGACAAACATTAAATTACCAAATATTTTACCTGAAATTTTTCAAATAGTCTTAAGGTAAGATAAATAAATAAAAAATAAAATCTCGTTATTCAATAATTATATATTTTTACAACTTTTAATTATTTAATTATTTTAGGTATATTTATGGAGGAAAACTCTCATTGGAAGAATATGATATTTCAGATATCATTAAAATTTTAGTCGCTGCTAATGAGCTCAGCCTTCAAGAATTAATCTCCTATTTAGAATCCTTTTTAATTGAAAATAAAAAAAATTGGATTGAACAAAATATTGACTTGATATATCAAACTAGTTTTGGAAACGATTCTTTTTTAGAACTTCAAAAATATTGTACTAATTTAATTATCAAAGAACCAAATAAGATATTTAATTCGCCGAATTTCTCTTCAATCCCAGAAAAATTATTAATCACGCTTATTCAAAATCATCAAATGAGTGAAATTCAAGTTTGGGAGCATGTAATTAAATGGGGATTTGCGCAAAATCCGGAACTTTCTTCTGATCATACAGGCTTTTCAAAAGATGATTTTAATACTTTAAAGAAGACGTTACAAAAATGTATTCCTTTGATTAAATTCCGTAATTTAACTTCCAAAGAATTTTTGAAGAAAGTAAAACCATATAAAAAAATCTTACCGAAGGAATTATATGATGATTTGTTAGAATATTTTTTGGATAATGATTATGATCCAAATAAAAAATCAGAATCTTTTACTATTAAAGAGATTAAATCAAAAAATATTGATTCTAAGATCATTTCAAATCAACATGTTGAAATAATTTCGAAATGGGTTGATAGGTTAGAAAATACGGTCAAACCAACAACTTCATATGAATTCAAATTATTATATCGTGAGTATTATGATGATGGATCTCTTAATTTATTTGATAGATTTAGAAAATTTCATTAAGTTTGTGATAATCATTCCCGAACTGTAACAATTTTTAAAGTGAAGGACAGAAATGAGATTCTTGGAGGATATAATCCGATTGAATGGAAATCTGATTTTAGTTGTGGAATTACTAAGGATAGTTTTATATTTTCTTTTAATAATGAGAATTACATTTTAAGTCGTGTAGAGAATGAAAAGAATGCTATAATTAATAGTCCTTATTACGGTCCATCATTTGGTTTTGATCTGTATTTATTCTATAACAACAAGAAAGTCTCTTGTGATCTAAAATATTATGAAAAACAGATCAAAGTTAATAATGATAATTCATTTATTTTAGATTTTTTTGAGGTATTTCAATTGTGAAGGGCTGATGATTATTAATAAATCCTCTTCATAATTTATTTACAAAATTAGATTAGAAACAATGTAATCCATATTGAACGTGTGCCTTATTTCTATATTATTTTAACATGATCGTTAAACGTTCTATGGCGCGTAAAAACAATGAAATTATAAATAAAGGCAAAATCGCTTGTTACGTAATTTAGATTTTGATGCCGAGAGTGTTGAGCTCGAACACGAAGACTTAACTAGACAATCATAAAAAGTATCGAGTTTAAAGAGCTAGGTCAATGTGATAACTAACATTTTATTCCTAATTTCCTATGCCAACATAAAGGGCTGCATTTTTTAATAATATATGCATATTATGTGCTATGATACCGCTAGTAATAACGGATATAATCCGATTGAATGGAAATCTGATGGTAGTTATGGAATTACTAAAGATAGTTTTATATTTTCTTTTAAGAATAGTGATATTATTTTAAGTCGTGTAAAGGAGCATATATAATTATCCATTCGGTCCATCGTTTGGTGATCTGTTTTTACGCGTTGCTTTTCATGAAAGTTTAACTATCGCTGTAAAAAAAATTATTATAAAAAAGAGATCGAATGTTTTGATGGGCTATCTTTAGATAACATTTTGAGGTATTTCAATTGTGCAGGACCGATGATTAAATCTTAAGTCTAATATTTTTATTAATCAGATTATATAGTTATTAATTTGAAACTAGTACACTATTCATTATATTATTTTATATTATTAAAATGGAGTTTTTGCATAAATCCCAAGGAGATTAGCTTAATGGAAGAGGGGTGCCTTACAAGCATGCGAATAAATATCAGAAGTGTACAATTAGAGAATATATCTCATTGCTTAATTCAATTGATTCAATAACTTAGCAATAACTTAATAAAAATAATATATTTTCTATTCATATTATCCAAATATTTTAATGTATCAGCACGAATTATTATACATAGATACAGTTTTTGAAATCTAAAATATATGATCGTGTAAATGTATGACAATCATACTTTCAAAATTAAAACTCACGCATAAGAAGTTAAGAAGCAGGTATAAAATTTTTATGATGACATTTTAAAAAACTATTATAATTCTGCATTAATAATTCATTAATTCCTTTATTTGTCAAAATTTTTATTTTTCATTTTTTCATTTTTTTTTTTTTTTTGATGAAAATCAAAGAAAAGTTAATCAAAACAATCATCATGAAAAATTTCTTAATGGGCTTTACCAACTAGCCACAGTATATACATTGTGGCGTAATTATTTCAGATAATTCGACATTAAGGCGGCGTATATTACACCAAATTTTTGTTCTAAAGGTGTAATGCCGAATTGGTGTAATGTGTCGTAATATTTCGGCGCCTAATTTATCTCACTGTATAGCTACAGCAGGTTTGCTCTTTATTCCAAAGCATTAACTATTGACTCATTTTATTAATTTTAATATTAATAAATTAATAAATTATTTAATCGCTAATCGTCGTTTGTACCATAGTATATACAAAATTACAAGTTTAGGTACATTTGTCCACCCATAATAAATTTATTCCATTTTTTTATTTCATGTTATTTCCATGAATTTATCATACTACGGTATTCACGAAGTTTTTACAGAAATTACAGTGAAATTTTTTTACGGGGTTGAACTGGATTGCGTTTCGAATGCACTTTATTAACATTTTTTATTAGTTGTCCAATAGTGAGCCAGATAAATTTATTATTATTATTATTATATTTTTAAAAGCAGTTTTATTATATTTGCTAAATCATTAATAATGCCGCCCAAATACAGAATTTTGAGATATTGTATAAAAACCTACAAATTAGTAATAATTCTGAAATAAAATTAAAATAAAATGACAAATAAAAATAAAAAATATTATACTCCATTAAAATATATTCAGAGATTTTTTAAACTCTTGATTATTTACATATGAATCACGAAAAGAAATGAATATACAGTATCTCAAATTATTTGAAATACTTCAAACTCTAAAGATAATGCATCATAGCTTTTTATGATCTGTTTTTCATAATACTTTTTCTTACAAAGGATTTTTAAACCTCCACCAAAAGTTGTACATAAATAGAGATCTCCATGACCAAATGATGGACCATTATAAACGTCATTATATATAGCTTTCGTTTCATTATTTACACGACTTAAAATATAATTTTCAGTACTATCATTACTAAAAGAAAATACAAAACTATCTTTAGTAATGCCATAACTACCATCAAATTTCCATTCAATAGGATTATATCCTCCAAGAACCTCTTTACTATCTTTCACTTTAATAATTGTCACAGTACGACTTTGATTTTTACAAACTTCATGGAACTTTTTAAACCTATGAAGCAATCCACCAGATCCATCACGAGATGTCGCATCACGAGATTCACGATATAATAATTTGAATTCGTATGGAATTGTTAATTTGTCTGTAGCCTCCAATTTATCAATCCACTTTGAGATTAATAAAGCATGTTGAAATTTGATGATTTTAGAATCAATATTTTTTGCTTTAACGTTAATCTCTTTAACAACAAGAGGTCCAGATTTTTTAATCGGGCTATTATCATTGTCCAAAAAATATTCTAATAAACCTTTGTATAATTCTTTTGGTAAAATTTTTTTGTAAGGTAAAACTTTTTTCGAGAATTCTTTCGAAGTTATATTCCGAAATTTAATTAAAGGAATACATTGTTGTAAAGTATTCTTTAAAACATTAAAATCATCCTTTGAATAACTTGTAGGATCAGAAGGAAGGTCCGGATTTTGTGCACATCCCCATTCGATCACACGCTCCCAAACTTGAATTTCGCTCATTTGATTATTTTCATTCTGAATAATCGTGATCAAAAGTTTTTCCGGAATTAAAGAAAAATTTAGGGAATTAAAAATCTTATTTGGTTCTTTTGAAATTAAATCAGTACAATATTTTTGAAGTTCCATAAAAGAATCAGATTTAAAACATGTTTGATATATCAAATCAAAATTTTCTTCCATCCAATTTGAATTGTTTTTAATTAAAAAGGATTCTAAATATGGAATTAATTCCTGAAGACCAAGATTATCGGCAGCAACCAAAATTTTAATGATATCTGAAGCACCACATTCTTCTAATGAAAGTTCTCCTACATAAATATATCTGAGAAAAATTATACGTTTGTAAATTAGATAAATATTTATGTATAGCGTAAATAAATAAAAATATAAATCTTTCGTACCTTAATAATATATGAAAACTTTCAGGTGAAATATTTGATAATTTAATATGTGTCGAGGTTCCATCGTTTTTATTATTAGTTGATAAAATTCTTTTCAAATAAGGAGAACGATAATTTAAAATAACTCTATGACTGTGAAATACTTTTGCATAAGGGCCACTACCAACTTCAATTGAAACATCATAATATTCTTTATCATCCAAAATTTCAAGTAAATTTTGTGTTAACTTTGACAAAAATTTATTATCAATCATTATAATTTTTTTTTTTTTTAAAAAAAAAAATAGGATAAAAAGGAATAAAGAATAAAGAATGTAAAGAATGGGAATTCTAATCCTAGTTTGATAGTCAAAACATCATATTACGTCATATTGCCGATCATAAGATTATTTTGGTTGATCCCGAACATTATTTACTTGAATTCAAACAAGAAATTTAAGTATTTACTGTGACTCAATTACTAAACTTCATTTAATTAGAGCACATGCAATTTTTATAAATAGCTGATCTTCCTTTAATAAAATAACGATTATGAATACGAAATGGAAGCGAATTGATTGAAAAATTATTCTAATTTCAGATTATTTGAAGAATTCCAAGGAATATATTCGATAATTTATTAAGCATCAATCATTCTTTTTTATAAATTAATGTTCTTGATTTAAGTATCAGTAATTATCGATCGACCAATTTTAACCCCACAAGTTTAAAGAAGGTTAGATAGATCATTAATTGATCAATAATTTAGTCCTGGATTTGCTATATTTATCCCTCCATTCCCTTCCTTCGACTTTAAATTTTTTTTTTTACGGAAAAGACGTTATTCATTGCCCGTTTCAATATCTTCAAATGAAAATTTTATAACCATTGACTGTAAACTATGACGAATAACGCACTCCTTAGTCCTTACCTAATCGATAGGAGACAAGAACGGTTATTATCATTACCATTATGATTTATTTTTTATTTTTACTGGAAAAAAATCGAATATTATACCCATTAACACACATGACGCATAGAAAGGTTTGATAATATCTTAGAATTAATAGATTATTTGAGATGTGATACTGCAGTCTCTGATAAATTTGACATTATGGGGATAAAATCCATGAAAATTATCTGTTGACTCCGATTCATCTAAAAGAGGCGGATACGCTTGTACAAACAATAAAGGGGTTCATTATACAATTCAAAAAGAGATGTAGCGGGTTTACAAAAAGAGATTAATTTATAACGTTAATTACGAAATGCAGCAAAGCAAAAGAGATTAGCATTCTGATGCAACAGACCACACTTCTAATCTAAAAGGTTAGCCATTTGAATTCCGTATGATAATTGCATGATAATAGCATGAATATGGTTAATACCGGAGTTCTTTCTCCTTCAGAGTGTTCCACGAGACGACTCATTTTTTAATAGAAGCCATTAAGAGACGACAATCAAATTTCTTCCTAAGTAGACTTTCATTTACGTTGATTGCTTATCTGAACTATTCCTTAGTATAATATATTTAGAAGGGATCTAAGAGTCATTACTAGTAAGTGTTTAAACCTACTTGTTTACTTTTATTATATTGTATTAATTGCGATTATTCATCTTTAGATGCAGATAATATTTTCGTCAAATACAAAGATGGGAAAGTTATAGATCCGATTCAAGAATTTCCTCCGTTGAGAATTTAGTGAGCATTGTTTTCGTTTATGTGTCATTTATAACCCGAAAAAAATACTAAGCCACAGAATATTAGCATTATCGAAAATCAAAAAGAAATAACTCTTGTTGTAAACGGAAACGATACAACTCGCTGGGTAGTGCACAGTTGAAGTGAGTTTAGAATTTCAGAAAGATATTTCATCGGTCTTAGAAGATTCTTCGGAGACTTGATTTCTGATGCTTCGCACCCCCGAAGGAGTGAATCTGTTTATTAAATGTTTGCGAAAGGTCGGTATTGCTTGTATTACTAGATTTTATGTAACGCTACGAGTTATTCCTTGTTCCAAATTGTCACAAATATTGATGTCTATCTTTATTACTTACTAGGAAACTGTCTTATAGTTAGACTTCTTAGCTATATTTTTGACATAAACTACTATAATTGTACTGGTCTGAAATAGTTGGATGAAAATGAATTAAACATATTAAAATATTGTTTATAACCAATAAAATTTCATTCTGTTATAATAACGTTCTCACGAAAAATTATTTGTGTTACTTTATTCTGATGTATAGATGATGAATTAGATGCCCAATGGCAACATCCCAACTCTGTCAAATATTTGTATTTAATGAATAACAACAAACGTTAATAACCACATGATAATGTGAGCGAAGCTCAGTTCCACTAAATATGAATGTAAAAAAATAGGTCCGACTAAAGACCACATCGTGCCTAGTTTGGTACCGTAATCATCTAACTATAAAAATATTCTTCATTTTTTTACGAATATAGATAAGGAGGTATAAGAGGTATTGGTGACGAAAGACGAGCAGTAATTTTGACTTGAGAAGACATTTCGTTATCGGTAAAATAAGTAGAAATCTTATTTTCTTTTCCCATGTGTGTAGTACCATCCTTATAGAAAGAAACAAGAGGTGCAAAATCAACATAATTTTCAAGCGCTTTAACCTTTTCATTTCTGCGAATTGAAACCATTTTGAAATGAGGAATATTTAAAGAAAATATCATTAATGTAGGTGGAGGTAATTTGAGCTCAATGGAGATTTTTCTATTTTCTTGACGCTCTCTTTCTTGGCGCTCGTTTTCTAGACGCTCTTTTTCTTCTTTTTCTTTTTTTCGACGCTCTTTTTCCTTTTTTTGCCGCATTTCTTCTTTTTGTCGCATTAAATCAAGTTCTCTTCTTAAATCCTCTTCTCGTCTCTCTTGAGCCTTTCTCGCTTGTTCCATTGTATCCAATATTTGCCTATGCCGTATGTCAGAATCTTGTCTCATTTGGTCAATCTGACGTTGATGAGCCATTTCAGCCTCTCTTCTTGCATCATCCTTTAATTTCTCATCGTATTTTCGTTGTGCTTTTTTTCATCCTCTTCTTTTCGACGTTTCTCTTCTGCTTGTTCCCGTAGGTTATTCTCAAGTTGAGTAGTGGTATAAACTCCTCGATACTGCTGATTAAATTCTTGATTTCCCTTAATCGTTCTCTATGAGTTTTTCCATCAGGAGAAAATTTATCAGGATCGGGAGAGATTCCCCAACGGTTTCCAATGCTTTGAATAAAGAACGAACAGAGTGATTCCAATCTCTTTGCATTATTTTTCTATCATCAGTCTGTGCTTGCATGAGAAAAAACTGATATGATGTTATTTGTTGCATCTTTTCCTAAAAACGTTCTTATTTCGTTTAAAACGTTCCTTTGTTCATCAGTAAACCTTCTGGCTTCTATAAAGTTCGAAGTTTGATTAATTATAAAACCCCACGTAATTATAAAAAAGTAGATTGTTTCATAAAGATTACATACTATACACAATAAGGATAGCCTTAACCCCATGAGCACATTTATTGATAGTCTTGGCAATTTGATTAAGTACTGGTATTGTACCTTGCTGAGTGTCAAAAATTCCAGGCGTGTCAACGATGTTATATGGTACGCCGTCAATTGATATTGTTGCTACGGTACACTCTTTTGTGACAGAATCCTATATTTTCATCGTTACTTACTCTTGAATATGAATATACGATTAATTTAACAGAAAAACATAGCACTTACCATTTGTGCAGAGGTATGGAAAGGTCCATTATCATGTGGTGCCCCAACAAGTAAATTTCCAAGAGTGCTTTTTCCCGCACCTAATATGTTTTTTTTAATTAGGAGTAAGAAAAGTACGAAGAAGAAAACAAATGTTTACCTGTTTTTCCTATTAAGAGAACAACTGGATTATTAACGTTAAGTTCCATACTACAGTAAATTACGGATGGAAGAAAAATTCAGGGTTCTTTTAAGGAGGATTTGTATTGTGATTTATTGCTTGAAATGGTATGGTTGCAAAACATTTGTTCACAGTCCGTGCAACTATGTGTAACTGGGCCTAAGCCTACATATGCACTCTATGCACTCATTTATTGCCTATTTATTCCACGACTCTAACTTATGTTACTTTTTTTTTATCAAATATTCACATGATCACAATTATCTGCATATTCGCTAATCTTTAATGTCGATGACCAAGACATTTATGTTAAATAAAAGAATTAGAATATATCATAGAATGGCCTTTATCGAGTTTATAAAAGAAAGAGGACTTGGGCTGGACGGAATGCTATTCAATATTCTCCATGGTAAAAAAATTCTTATCATATCTTCTTTAAAACGACCAAAGAATAGCTTGTAAAACACCATAAAAGAAATAGTACTGCGGAAAAAACGTGAATAACAATCGGAATAATTATTTAACCGTCAATCCGAAACCATACCGAAATGGTCATACAATGAATTTTACGAGGCTGTGACCCATGGCTATAGGACTGCGCATATACACGCAGTAAAAAAATTGGAATGAGCGTCACATCCTCTTTTTTACAAAAAACATTTATTTTGGAAACAGGAATATGGATTAATTATTGCAACGATTATCAGTTAGAGTTAAATGCCTGGCGTATTCATCAGTCGGAAACTGCTCTAAGATCACATATATAATAATTTATATTATAAACGATGAATAAAATAGTGAATTATGAGAACGTGACATTACCCTTTTAAGGACACTTGTATTTTCCGAGAGAATATACTGTAAATACCATGACTATTTTTGGAAACATGTTTCTTTAGGAGTAATAAAAATATCAGTTTAGGCAGTGTCTGTACACATATGACATAGTATATAAATAAAATTTTAATTTTTTTTTTATTGCTTAATAAAATATACAAAATATAATACAAATAAAATATAATTTCATAATTTAATATTTAAATAATTAGGAAATATTGAAATAGATACTATATGAATAATCTTTCAGTTTGAATCAACGAAATGCTTAAATACTTTATTACTAAAACCTTTGCTAATTTTTTAGAATTTTTAAAATATTAATATTAAATGATTTGAAACACTTCAACTTCTGAAAAACATGAATCATTAATTTCAATTTCTTTAATTTGTCTTTCATAAGAATTTTTTCTACAACGAATTCTTAATTCACCAAAATTATTTGGATGATTTTGATATAAATATAAATCACCATCACCAAATGAAGGACCAATATCATAAAAAGAACTATTAAATATAGCTTTCTTTTCATTCTTTACATGACTTAAAATATAATCATCAATACCATCATTATTAAAAGAGAATATGAAACTATTTTTAGTAATACCATAACTACTATCAGATTTCCATTCAATAGGATTATATCCTCCAAGAATATCTTTACTACCTTTCACTTTAATAATTACTATAGTACGAGATTGATTATTACAAATTTCATGAAATTTTTTAAATCTACTAAATAATCCACTGGACCAATCACGAGAATCACGATATAATAATTTGAATTCATATGAAGTTGTTAATTTTTCTAATTCATTAATCCATTTTGAAATTAATTCAGCTTGTTGAAATGTAATAATTTTAGAATCAATATCTTTTAATTTGATTTCTTTAGTTACTATGATAGGTTCTGATTCTTTAACTGGATCGTTACTATCACTATCATTATCCAAAAAGTAATTTAATAAATCTTTATATAATAACTTTGGTAAAATTTTTTTATAAGGTAATACTTTCTTTAAAAATTCCCTTGAAGTTAAATTATAAAATTTAATAAAAGGAATACATTGTTGTAAGGTATTCTTTAAAGTATTAAAATCATCTTTTGAAAAATTTGTAGGATTAGAAGGAAGATCTAGATTTTGTGCAAGTCCCCATTCGATCACACGCTCCCAAACTTGAATTTCACTCAATTGAAGATTTTCATTCTGAATTATCGTGATTAAAAGTTTTTCTGGAATTGAAAAGAAATTTAGAGAATTGAATATTTTGATTGGTTCTTTTGAAATTAAATCAGTACAATATTTTTGAAGTTTCGAGAAAGAATCGTTCTCAAAGCTTGATTTGTATATCAGATCAAAATTCTGTTCCATCCAATCTTTTTTATTTTCAATTAAAAAGGATTCCAAATAGGGGATCAACTCCTGAAGGTTAAGTTCATTGGCAGCAACCAAAATTTTAATTATGTCTGAAGCATCATATTCTTCCAAAGAAAGTTTTCCTCCGTAAATATATCTGAAGAAAATTAAACGTTTGTAATTAAAAAAAAAAAATTATATATATATATATAAATATTTTTATATTTTAGAGAAAGAAAATAAAATATACCTTAATAATACATGAAAAATTTCAGGTGAAATATTTGATAATTTAATATGCATCAAAGTTCCATCATTATTATTTTCGATCATTGATAAAATTCTTCTCAAATAAGGAGAACGATAATTTAAAATAATCATATGAGCATGAAATGTTTTAATATAAGGGTCATTACCGACTTCAATTGTAATATCATAATATTTTTCATCGTCTAAAATTTCGATTAAATTTTGTGATAACTTTGATAAAAATTTATTATCAACCATTTTTGTAGTTAGTAAAACCTTTAAGTTATTATGTAAANTCATATGAGCATGAAATGTTTTAATATAAGGGTCATTACCGACTTCAATTGTAATATCATAATATTTTTCATCGTCTAAAATTTCGATTAAATTTTTTCAAAATAAAAAAAAAAAGAAATTTTCATCCCAATTTGTAGTTAGTAAAACCTTTAAGTTATTATGTAAACATATACAGTATGTTTGTCTAGATGCAGATTATCTTAATACGGTAAATTTGGGCAACACTTATTGTTGATCTGGTGATCCAAACAAAAAGTTTAGAATAGTTAGATTATACTGTAAAAGTATTCTTAATTTATGGCTTGCATTAAAATATAATGCCTGCGCATTCTTTCTATTCTTTATTTGATTAGTGGCTTCGTTTAAATTAGATAATTTGTGAGTAGCCAGTGGCAACGGGTAAAACATAGTCCCGATTATTTGCTCATAATTTTGATGACTTTGAGTCTCCAATCAATAAGAGCCTAATAATATTTCTTTCGTCTCTTTTATAAAAATCAAAATTGTTGGTACTGGTATAGCAACAGTATAATTGATAAATGATGAGATATAAATTTATTTTTTTTGTGCTTATTCAAATGAACACATGACTAATTTGACAACCGTAATTTTGTCATACCATAAACAACCGAAAATTTACGTATGATCTAAACGTTATTTCCCCGTCCATTGTATTATTATACTAAAACTTTAAAATTAAATTTTCGAACAACAAAAATATATGAGAAGAAAAATTTCTACTATTAACGGATAAATTTTATTGTTATTGAAAATTAGATTTTTATTAGAAAGAGAAAGTTACAACCTTTTTGACACATTAAAAAAATATTTTATTCATTAAGATTAATGGATAAGCTGAGTTAAAAATGTGGTCTCTAATCTAAAAAAGACTTTAATAAGTTATTGGTAGAAATAAATTTTTGCAATATAATACAAACAGAAAATTTTAGAAGTAATATCAGATAATAATTAAAACCAGCAAGACAAAAATGAAGTGTGATTAAGTTTTACCACTTAAATTATAATATTTAATGTTGACAAAAAACTAAAAGTTTCGATGCTTGATAATTATATTATGTAATAATTCAACCAGAGTTCTACTTAAAATTATGACGATTGAAAATAAACTTTTGTCAAAAATTAAACCGAAATTAAACCGAAATTTTATATGACAAATTGAAGTTGGTAATGATCCTTATATTAAAATATTTCATTATTTTAAATTATATGTTCTCCTTATTTGAGAAGAATTTATCAATGAACAAAAACAATAATGAAGCTTTGATGCATATTAAATTATAAATGTTTCACCGGAAATTTTTATTTATGAAAGATTTTACATTTTATTTTATTTTATTTTTTTCTTTTTCTCAAAAATATGCAATGCGTCCGACTTTAGTAAATCATCGTCTATTATCATTACATAAAATATATCTTCATATGAATATATGAACAGAAATAACTGCCCAGTGAATTCTTATTTAATAAATTAAATGTTTTAAACAATGTTACGATTATTAAAGTGATAGGCAATCAAGTAAACGAAAAGATTTATATACAGTGAAATAAATGCAAATGTATACAATGTTACATAGCCCACGTCAAATGTATCAATCGCACAAGTTGCACGATTCGAAAGATATAAAGCATGAAAACAATCTAAAGGTTAACCAACGATTAATATTATTATTTATATGGTCGAAAATATTTAGTTAAATGTTTGTGGAACGTATGATCTGTTGCACATCTCTAACCTGCATTAAAGTTACTTTACGGAGGTAATTTTAACCGGTCAATGGTTAAACAAGTGTGTTCGAAAAAAAAAAAAAAGTTTGCACAAATTATTTCTCATATCTTCCTTTCAAGATTAAAATGGCCGATAATAAACTTTTACCGAAATTATCACAAAATCTACTTGAAATTTTAGATGATAAAGAATATTATGATATCACAATTGAAGTTGGTAGTGACCCTTATGTGAAAGTATTTCGTGCCCATATGGTTATTTTAGATTATCGTTCTCCTTATTTGCGTAGAATTTTATCAACTAATAAAAAGAAAAATGATGGAATTTTGACAAATATTAAATTACCAAATATTTCACCTGAAATTTTTCATGTATTATTAAGGTACGAAAGACTTAATATTTTTACTTTTTTTTCGCTAAAATATATATGTGTATATATATATTTTTTTAATACATACGTTTAATATTTGTTCAGATATATTTATGGAGGAAGTCTTTCTTTAGAAGAATATGATATTTCAGATCTCATTAAAATCTTGGTTACTGCTAACGAACTTAGCCTTCAAGAGTTAATTCATTATATAGAATCTTTTTTAATTAAAAACAAAACAAACTGGATGGAACAAAATTTTGAATTAATATATCAGACAAGCTTTGAAACCGATTCTTTCCCAGAACTACAAAAATATTGTACTGATTTAATTTCCAAGGAACCAGATAAGATATTTAATTCTCCAAATTTTTCTACAATTCCAGAAAGACTTCTAATTACGCTTGTTCAAAAAGATAATCTTCAAATGAAAGAAATTCAAGTATGGGAGCATGTAATTAAATGGGGACTCGCTCAAAACCCGGAACTCCCTTCTGATCCTACAAGCTTTTCAAAAGATGATTTCAATACTTTAAAACATACTTTACAACAATGTCTTTCTTTTATCAGATTCCATGATTTAAATCCAAAAGAATTTTCAAAAAAAGTATTACCTTATAAGAGAATTTTCCCAAAGGAATTATATAAAGAATTATTAGATTATTTTTTAGATGATGACAGCAAGGAAACATTACCTCGTATATCTAATTTAAAACAAACATCTACAGTAGATGATATTCGTAGAGTTACAAATAGTGATAAAAAGCCACAAGAAGATATATCAATGGAATCAGGTACATTTACAAAACTTGATGAGAATAAGCAAAATGTTTCAACTAACAATATTAAAAATATTGATTCAAAAATAATTACATTTCAACATGCTGATATTATTTCAAAATGGATTAATAGCTGTCTCTTATACACATCTAGATGTGTATAAGAGACAGGTCTAGTGGATTTCTTAACAGGTTTAAAAAGTTCCATGAAATTTGTCTAAATCAACCTCATACTGTAACAGTTGTTAAAGTTGAAGGTAGTAATGAAATTCTTGGAGGATATAATCCGATTGGATGGAAATTTGATGGTGATTATGGTGTTACTAAGGATAGCTTTATATTCTCCTTTAATAATCATAACGTTGAAAATTACATTTTAAGCCGTGTAAAGAATGAAAAGGAGGCTATAAGGAAGATTCTCTATTTAAGTCAAGGTCCATCATTTGGTGACCTGTACTTATTCCAAAGTGCTAGCAATCAATTAAAAATCAGTTGTAAAAATACAACTTATGAAAAACCGATCAGTAGAATTAACGATTCAATCATTTTAGAATTTGAATTATTTAAAATTGATATTTAAATAGAGAGTGAAATGTTTTGTTGATTTTGTTATAAATAGAGAGAATTCCAAATATTTTATAATATAAAAATAAATAAATGTTTGTTTTAAGTCATCTTGATAATAATCTGGCCAATCGCCGCATTACTAGTAGTATATCGAATTTCTTAATTTGTCTGTAAATCATAAAAAAAATTTAATAACTAAAAATTTACTTATTTATCCCGGCAAAAAAAAAAAATTTTTTATTTATTTTGTATATATAGAGGAATAAATGCAAATGATACAATCTTAAGTGTCAAATGTATCAGTTGCGTAAGTCGAAGAATATAAACATGACAAAGATGTTAAATTGGTCCTGGGATCAAAGTCTTTGCAGTCCTACTACATGCAAAAAGACCGGACTAAAAAGACGCAGTAATGGAAAAAGTCGGGGTTGAGCGACTTAAGTCTTAAGTCGGTTCGTTTCATTCGATTTGATACATCGGTTCCAAATCGTACTGACTCGGATCTGGACTGAAGTGACAAAATGGAACCAAACACAAAGTTACAGTCACGTGATATTTGATTGTACTACAAGCAACCCTCCTATTCATTAATAACTTGCCGATAAAAATTTGTATTACGAATATCTTTTTTTTTTTAAATTAATAACGCGTTTATTTATTTATTAATCATTTTACAGAAAAGATTACATAAATATCAAAACACTTAGAAGGCAAATTAATTTACTCTCTATAACTAAAGTATTCGAAAAAATAATATCTACTAATATCTATCTAATCTAATTTAGAAAAAAAAACTAAACTAATTTTATAGTTAAATTCCAATTTTTCGTATCTTTTCCTTCTGTGAACCTACTAATTATTTTATTTTTCGTTACTAATTTAATATTTTGTTCTCTATTTTTGTATTTTTCACTAATTTTTAATTTTTTTCTTTGATTTTCTATACTTTATCTTCGCACTTCATATCCCAATCTATAAATTTTCTAACTTTTATCTGATTTTTTAATACCTAAACTCTGTTCTATCTCATTGACTTCATTACACTTTTTGTTCCAAAACTCGTTCTTTAACGCATTAAAACAAAAAATCCAAAGCTCGTTATTAATAACTTCTTTCTCGTCTTTAGTATCTTTTGATAACGTATTAAATTTCCGATTATAAACTCCTCTAATAAATTCCCAATATTTCTCTTTTCCAAGTAAAACTTATGATTTTTCGTATAAAATCTTTTAAAAACTAAAATTTATGTTTTGTAAAAATTTGATTTTTTCATGCTTTTCTTCCTTCAATAAACTTTCTTCAAGATTACTAATCAAAAGTTCCAAAACTTTTTTTATCGTTAATTTTTATATAACACTTCATACGTTGGTAAATCCTTTAAAAAATTTTTAATTTTCTATGAACGCCCCATACATCATCTTTCTCAATTTCCCATGATGTATAATTATTTCTATTACTAATAAACTGTAATGTTTTATTCCAATCGAATTCGTCCTTATAATTATAATAAAAGAGATCTTCCACCTTACTACTATTAAGCATTTCATTTTTCCAAATTAATTCAGAACACTTTTTACGCCACGCTCTAAGGCTCTAAGCCCTCCTGAAATTAAAATTTTCTTCCAATAAAGATTAAATTCATCAAAAGACATTGCCTCATCTATAATATTCATCTTATACGCCTTAGAATCCATCATCGCTTTATTATTTACTAATTCCTCTCTTAACTTTAGCCTTATTTTATCTATGTATTACGAATATTAAATATATAGATAATCTTTTTTTATTCAATATACACATATATAAATATATATCGACTGCAATAAAAATATTCCCATTATATTGACTCATTTTAATACCCAACAATTTTCATCATTTCTTTATTTTAATAAGTCACGAACAAATATCTAATAAACAGTAAAAAGCGAAAATCTTTAAAACAAAATGACAATTTATCAATAATAGAACTTGATAAGTTAAAGCAAATCATTACTGAAAAGATACGTGTTAATGATCATATGTTTTTATGAAATTTGAAAAAAAGGATCAAGATGGTGACAATTCACAAAATAATAATAAATATAATTTATGCTTATATATTTATTATATTATTGAGCACGTAATACTGCATTATTTTAACGAACTTTTTATCAAATTAAAAAATTTATATTTATCCCGATTTAAAAAATCATATATTTATTTTAGTTTTTATAAACGGACAACTTACGTAGTCTACGTCAAATGTATCAAATTCATAAGTCGAAGGATATCAATCTAAAGATTAACCAGTTAATTTAACGATTGATATATAATTTATAAGGTCGGAAATTGTACTGGCTTAGATATTAAGTTGCAAAGATCGTTTTAAAAAGAGTATATCTTTACTGAGTCCGGTCCGATGATCTTTCTGAGTCCAGTCATGTCAATTTTTAGCACAGTCATATGAATTTTGATGCAGACCGAATTTAAACTTTGATCAGACTTCGCTACCATCGGACTGAGTTAACTGTGCTAAGTCCTGTGATTTTGATCAATCGGACCGAACTAATTCTACATGACCGATCTACATTTTATCTTTTTATTAATTGTGGATTTAAATAAACATTTTTTATACAATAAAATGTTTAAAAACTTGTAACAAAAATTAATTGCATCTTAATTTATTGAAATAAAAGGTTCTTAGAAATTTATATATATTCTATCATCTACTAAAACCATTATCTCATTAAATATTTAATAGTAAAAAAAAAAATTTTTTTCATAATAACTCATTATAAAGCGAAACAGCAAAAAAAAATAAAGATCGTGTAGATCAAGCTTTATAATCAATCAATCGGACCCAAGTAATTTTAAGCGAATTACTGGACCGTGTGGTCTAATGATCCGGACCCAAATTCACATGACTGTGCTAAAAATTGACGTGACTGGACTCAGAAGGATCATCAGACCGGACACCATAAGGCATAACCTTCTTAAAAATGTTTAGTTTGTGGAACTGTTGCACATCTCTGACCTGCATTAAATTACTATAAGGAGGTAATTTTAACCGGTCGACGGTTTATGTTAAAAAAGAAAGGTTGAACAAATTTTTTCATCCTTTTTCTTTCAAAGATTATAATGGCTGATAATAAATTTTTACCGAGATTATCACAAAATTTACTCGAAATTTTGGATGATAAAGAATATTATGATATTACAATTGAAGTTGGTAGTGACACTTATGTGAAAGTATTTCATGCCCATATGGTTATTTTGAATTATCGTTCTCCTTATTTGCGTAGAATTTTATCAACTAACAAAAAGAAAAATGATGGAATATTGACACATATTAAATTACCAAATGTTTCACCTGATTTTTTTCATGTATTATTAAGGTACAAGAGTTTATATTCTTATTCTTTTGCGTAAAAGTATGTGTATTTTTAATTTACAAACATTTGATTTTTTTTTTTTTCAGATATGTTTATGGGGGAAGACTTTCTTTAGAAGAATATGATATTTCAGATATCATTAAAATCTTGGTTACTGCTAATGAACTTAGCCTTCAAGAGTTAACTCCTTATATAGAATCTTTTTTAATTAAATATAAAACAAACTGGTTGGAACAAAATTTTGAATTAATATATCAAACAAGTTTCGAAACCGATTCTTTTCCAGAACTTCGAAAATATTGTACTAATTTAATTTCTAAAGAACCAGACAAGATATTTAATTCTCCAAATTTTTCTTCAATTCCAGAAAGACTTTTAATCACACTCATCCAAAAAGATGAACTTCAAATGAAAGAAATTCAAGTATGGGAGCATGTAATTAAATGGGGACTCGCTCAAAACCCGGAACTCCCTTCTGATCCTACAAGCTTTTCAAAAGATGATTTCAATACTTTAAAACATACTTTACATCATTGTATTCCTTTTATTAGATTTCGCAATATAACTTCGAGGGAATTTTTGAAGAAAGTAAAATCTTATAAAAAAATTTTACCAAAGGAATTATATAATGATTTATTAGAATATTTTTTGGATAATGACAGCGAGGAATCATTACCTCGTATATCTATTTTAAAACAAAAATCTACATTGGATATTTCTAGAGTTACAAATAGTGATAAGGAGTCGCAAGAAAATGTGCCAACAGAGCGATTAATGGGATATGATAATATTTTATTAAATAAACAGAAAGTTTTAACTAACAGTATTAAAAATATTGATTCTAAGATAATTACATTCCAACATACTGAAATAATTTCAAAATGGATTGATAGATTAGAAATTACAGACAAATTAACAAATTTATATGAATTCAAATTATTATATCGTCATTCTCGTGATAGGTCTAGTGGAATTTTGAACAGGTTTAAAAAGTTCCATGAAATTTGTGTAAATCAACCTCATACTGTAACATTTGCTAAAGTTGAAGGTAGTAACGAAATTCTTGGAGGATATAATCCGATTGGATGGGAATTTGGTAGTGGTTATGATGTTACTAAGGATAGCTTTATATTCTCCTTTAATAATTATTATAGTGTTGAAAATTACATTTTAAGTCGCGTAAAGAATGAAAAGGAAGCTATAAGTAAGATTTCCTCTTTAAATCAAGGTCCATCATTTGGTGGTGACTTTACCTTATTCCGAAGTTTTGGGAATAAATTAGAATTCTATTGTAAAAATACAAATTATGAAAAACCGATCAGTAAAATTAGTAGTGGATCAACCATTTTAGAATTTGAATTATTTAAAATTGATATTTAAATAGAGAGTAAAATGTTTTGTTGATTTTTTGTCATAGATAGAAAAAATTCCGAATATTTTATAGTAAAAAATAAAAAATGTTTTATGACATCCTGATAGATAATTAGATAATTTGTTTTGAGGTTGGCCATTGTACTGAATTTCAAATTATGTAAAATTTTGGGAAAATAAGTTTTACGAGGAATTGCATCCTATATAAATTACAGTGCTTTATTATTCGTATTGACTTATAATAAACTATATATTCATATCTATTTTCAATAATTAAATTATTTTATACGTATTAATTAGAGTTTCTATTTCCTAGCTTCTCCATTAATAATATTACAATTGACTTTTTTCCAAATAAGCAAAAAATAACGCTGCGTCAACCAATATCCTAACTCTAATCTGACTTTAGTAAATATCATCGCGTACTATCATCATGTACTAAACTTCACTGTTAATTATTATTCTTATAATTTCCTAAATGATGATACTTTCAATTACTATACAGTACTAATTTTACCAATCCTATAGGAGATACTGAGGAATCATTAAAAAAAGCTTGGTTAAAGGCTAGAGAAAAGGCGAGGGAGTTAAAAGACAGGTATCATAAGACTACAAAAGTATATATTCGATGTTCTTACATCGAGAAATTAAATAAACAGAATAAATAAATTAAATTCAACATGAAGTCTTAAATAATTTGATGCATCCAGTCTAAGAATAAATTCACGTGTGTAGGGGAACTCATTAAACGTAAATAATTTATAATAATCATAGGGAATATTTTTAAATATTCTCCATAGTAGTTAGTCACTTTACTGAAATTGATGAAATCTGGTTTAGCAACTAATATTAAGAATACCTTTTTATCGAAACCAATAAATTTAATAAAAGTATAAATTAGTCAAATATATTAATAATATTTCCAAATATTTATTATTTATTATGTTGTGTAACATAAGTAATCACATGATCACATGACCTCGAAAAATTTGATTTTTTAATTCTTTTTTGTTATATCCTTTACAACTTTTTCCATAATTCTGATTCCCCTTAAGATGGAATTTTCACTCTTTGGTCGATCACTTTTTGTGTTTTGTCTATCTTTTCGGTAAAAGTCGAAAATTTATTCCCATTCTTTACATTCTTTATTCTTTATTCCTTTTACTCGAAGATACATTTAATCACGTGATTATTAATAATATGGACTATAGATAAAATTAAGTAATTTAAAAAATTGATATACTTTGAAGAAGAAAGTCCTAACACATATTTTTATCTTTAAAGGAATTTTTACAAATAAAACCACTCCGTCCACCCTAGAATCTAAAGGCTATATTGAATTAATGGAAGAATGCTGACATTCTGATCCAGGTATAAGACAACAGCTCGTGATATATGTAGTAGAATCACGGAAATGTTTTGGAAGGAACGTGAACGTGATAATAGCAAAAAATCCTATAAAATCATCGGTTATTGGAATATGATTTAATAAAAATCTTGTGTATATCTTTTTAAATAAATTTCTTACATATTTATTACAAGAAAAATAATATGTCTACACTCTACAACTCAGGTTTAAGTAGCACATAAATACACTATAACTTTTTAACAGCATCTTCCTTTAGATAAAAATAAATTCCTTAATGTGAAATCTTCTTTACCCTAAAAAATACACGTAAAATAATGAAAAATCTATATTTAGACTCTTTACTGATTATGTATGAAAGCATAATTATGATTTTCCACTTAGAAAAAATGTTAAAATTAAGGTATTTACATTATTAACAAATGCGTGCATATCACAAAATTTTAATACTGAAGAAAATGTTATATTAACTTATCAGAATATATTGACTATATGGAAATATCGTAATTTCTCCATAAAATATCATATAATTAAAATTTTCTTAGTTTTAAAAAAAAAAGTAAGTTTACGATGATCAACTTTTTACAGCTTGTCCAGCACAGGTATTACAAGAAGCTTTGCCGTGTGATGATATGGTCATTGTCAATCGAGGCTTAAGGCTGGGTAAAAACAATTACTGATATAGGTTTTTGTTTAAGAATTCCAAAATAATACTCGGTAAATACAAATCTGCCCCCGTCGACCTCCTAATTTTTTTTTCTATTATTCTTATATTCTAGATTCTAAATCATTAATTATATTAACATGATGTTTAGAGAATATAATTTTTCTAAATGATATATTTACACCTGATACTACTCAAGAAGATAATACAGTAAATTTGAAATCCTATAAAGGATGAAGTTCTTATGATGATTAATATTGAATTTTGCGTATTTTTATGATAACGAATTAAAATTATTTAAAGAAATTGTTTATGGAAATAGCATTAGATTATTATTATTTTATAATAATATTATCAATTTACTGACGTTCACGCAATTATGAATTTGATAACAAATTTAATAAATTGATGAATAATTGAATTTTTAATTAATAAAATTTTAAATTAACTGGTTTTTAAAACCATCATAAGCATGTAATTTTATTATATTGTATTTAACAAATAAATTTCATTATTTTTATTTTATAAAATAAAATAATTTTGTGAAAAGATTTAACGAAAAATAATAATTAGTACTACTTCAGGTATAATTTTTTTTAAAAAAAGATTAGTTACAAAAATAACTAAGTAAAATTCTGTTCAGGCTGTAACCTTGGGCGGATACTCTGCAGCGCGCACTATCTTCCATTTGCCATTTCTGACCCGTTACCAATAATTCTTATATCAAAACTATCAGCAGGGGATCCATTCCCATAAGTGGTGTTTATGACGACCATGTTTGCAAAACCATTACGGATTTCCTTCCTTGAGCATTCCCTATATCAAAAAACTAAGATTAGTTACAAAATAACTAAGTAAAGATTCCGTTCAGGCTGTAACCTTGGATGCAACTGAGCGGATACCACCCGGTCGTAAACCCTACAGTGCGCAACATCCCTTTATACTTACCATATATAACTTAGAAATGATTTCTTCCTATGATGTCTGGTCATAAGATATAGATAAGATATGGATATTAAGAAATATTAAAAATAAAAATTTTTTTAGATAAGATATTAATAAGATATAAATAAGATAAATATTAAAAATAAAAATTTTTTTAGATAAGATATTAATAAGATATAAATAAGATATAAATATTAAGAAATATCAAACTGTAGATATTAAAAAAATAAATTTAACGATGAAGCTATCTATCAGATTTTGTCCTCTTTTATATTATTTTTCTCATCATGTGATATGAGTCTAATGATATAAAAATAAAAATGTAACCATGACTGTAGCTATAATAGTTTTCGATTCAAGATTATTCACACCAATACATCAATATGTCAATTCAAGTCATACTACCTATACATTTAGTAGAATAACTAATAATGTATAATTACGGCTTGTAATATGTAATCAATATAATTTACTCTGACAAAAACTGTGCCATTTAGATTCAGAACTTTAATTTGATGTCTAATTTTAAGTCATAATGATATGACTTTAACTTTTAATAGTATGACTAATATATATGTAGCTATTACTTTATATTATGTTATTGTACAAAAGTATGAGTAAGGCCAATTATTCATAAAACTATAATTCCTCATGCATGATCCATAATTAAAAGTTTCTTTTGACAATATATTATTCAGTTATTGTCATTTATCAGTCTGATCAATAATTTTAACTGTCAATGATATAATTTTAATAATATTCTATTTACTATCACTTATTTGAAAAATGAGTGATGATCATTCTCCCGATAAGCCTCAGACATTTCTAGTTTTTTTTAGTTTAGGATAAATCCTATGACATTCGAAACAAAAATAATTTTTTATTTTATTTTTTTATTTTTAACAGTACGACAGAAACTAGTAGTAGATACAAATAGAACTAAGCTAAATTATTTCTAATAATGTAGAAAATCTCTATTAACCATAACTGGGTATTCCTTTCTTTAATAGAAGCGATCTCATCCCTCATATAAATATTATAAGGGTTTAGTTTTCTTCTAGTTTTTCTTCTCGATCTTTTCGATGATTTACCTTGACAATAAAATTTCTTTACTGATCTTTCTAAAAATACATGGAGTATTTTCTTTCTTTGGATACACTGAGTAGCAACACCACGCGTTTAATTTTGGCATACAATGGCACACCAGTATTAGGAAGAATATAAAGGTTACCCGAGTTTCCAGCCCTAACTAAACTCATCTTAATCTGTGATATATGTGCACTTTCCACTTACTTCGTAATCCTTCATATACATATTCTTTTTTTCTATAATTGATCTGTAAATTGATATATTTTTTGAATTTATTATTTATTTTGGAATATGGGATTTTGGCCAAAATGTTGTTCTTTTTATATTTAATTTGATGATAATAAAGTAAGTAATGAATAATTTTTTTTAAGTATGAAACATTAATATTTTCCAATAAGAGTATCAAATCAATTATATATTTAATTATAGAACTATATATTAAAGTACTAAATTTATCAATATTATTTTCAAGAAAAAATTTAAATTAATATATAAAATTTGTTTCAAATTTTAATAAGACGAATATTAATATTCTTATTTAATAAAATCTTACAATAATGTACTCGTTCCACATTTGTAATCCTTAAAAATAAAAAATAAAATATACAATATGGAAAGTATATACTGTATATACTACAGAAGTAAATCATGTACACCAAGGAGAAGAAAATTCATCATGTATTTTGGAAAGGTATTTTGTAAAGGTCAGTAAAAAAATTTTATCGGAGAGATAAATATAGAAAACAACTTAACACCTAGAACTTCAAAAAAAGGAAACGTTATATAACGTTCCTTATAAAAGAAAAATAGAAGTTTCAGTAGTTACACTCTCGTTGTCCAATCAAAGGTTACCCAATCAAAGGAGGTCTATAAAAACAGTACAAGTTTTTCAAAAATATTTCAGTAATGATCTTGAAGCTAAAATTCTAATATACACAATTTATAAGCTTCAAGTTTTCCGAAAACCTACCATAATAATTTTGGAGCCAGAGCCCTATAGAAAAAAATAAAAAAAATTTCAAAGATTTTTCAAATATGGTTTGTTCGCGAGTGTTTGTGTTTCACTCCAGGAAACCACATAATGAATTCAATAGTACATTATGAAATGGGTTCCTTGATCGGTCAATAGTTCTTTTGGATCAGGTGATAGCAGATGACCGAAAACCTATCTGGGATTCCGGTCCAGAAAAGAAAAAACAATTAATAAAAAAAGCCGAATTTTTTTTTAAATATTCGAAAGTGAAAACTTACCTGCGATTCATGAAACAGTCTTGGAGTTGGAGTCCTATAAGAAAAAAATTAGTAAAAAAGCTTTCTATTTTATTTATTTATTTATTTATTTATTTTATGTGAAGTCGGATAGACATTTAATCAGGATATATACCCTCGAAAGGGAATTGATCCTACTTCTTGCTATCATCTATCTAAGACAGACCCCGAACTTCTTGGTAACCAGAAGACTCCTGTGCTACGACCAACATAGGAGCGTTACAATATGATAAAAAAAATGAACAACAAAGACTATATACATGTGTATCTAATAAAGAAGTTGTGGCGAACTACACAATATAAATGGAATAATTAAGAAGACTTCTATAAGACAAATTATCTACATATTGTACACCATCTAGATGCGTAAAAAAAGCACCGCTATGTAAAAAATTAGAAGATGAAAATAAAATAAATAGAAAATCTTTATCTAATTTGAAATTTCTAAAATCATTAAAAGGATTAATATATCCACGCTCACGATCATTCGGTATAGGAGGATCAGTACGTCTGACAGCTGCTAGTGTTCTCAACTCGGTAAGAAAAGTCTCTCGGTATTTAATAAAATGTTTTTTTGTAAGGCCCCAGTCTGATCTAATAGTTTTCCAAATATTATTACGAACTTTCCATATATCTAATTTAATTTGGAGGCTGCAAGAATGCATATATGGCAACAAAAATTTCAAAATAATTTTCATGGATTTAAAATGCGATCAAAATATGCCTACTAAGTCATTGGATCTTTGATTAAAAGGGGAAAGTTACGATTTAAGACGTCCAATGTAGGTAGAGAGAGTGTGGAACACTGAATTTTCCATTTGAGGTCCTTGGTATGTTTAATGGATGTGGTATCGTTGCGTCCATTATAATGAAACCATTTACAGTCGCCACTGGATATAACGAACCTGCCGTTCCAAGCGTTTTGGTTCAGTATATGGTGAATTCGATATATGATATTCATATTATATACCGAACTGTTCGGTATATGAATTTTATCCAATTAAATTATAGCAGCATATACTGTAATATTTAAAGTTCTGATGATTACATGACTTACTATAACAGATAACACTATTTTTTATTTAAAATTTATGTGTTCATCGATTTTTTAAGTATTTACCAGCTATTCAAATGAAAATTTTATCTGATACTAGCAGAAATAATTTTTCCGGTAGTCCATTCTTTTATATTACTAATTAAAGTCACATGATAGTTCGGTATACTAAATATGTAACTGATATACTTGGGCTGGCTAAAATAAGTTCGGATGCGGTATATAGTAATTTATTATGTGATTTCGTTATATCCAGTGCAATTAATTATAAAAAAATCGGTTCTGTGAAACTTGGTTCAATACAACAAGTTTTCGGTACAAACAGGTTCGTTATAACCAGTGGCGACTGTACTGGAGAGCGACCAGTCAATTAAAGAATCCTTTGTACTTTTTTTAATAAATTTCAACGAAGGGTGGTTGAGGTGCAAATCTAGCCTTCGATAATTGAGAATGGTACTAATACATTTACAAATGTCTTTATCTATAGGAATTTCATTGTTCCATTTGAGTGTAACAGCTTGGTTAGATAGGTGATCATATAAAATCCCAGTAGGTATAGGTTGTAAATGACCTAATTTGGCTTGTACGTCTGCTGCATCATTAAATATGTTGCCAGAATGTGCTTTCACCTTAATTAATTTGACCGTTAAATTGAGTGTTTTAATGATATGATGGATAGCGGATAGGGTTGGTAAAATAACCGTTAGTTATGAATTTGGTTAATTAACCGGTTAATTAACGGTTAGTTAACGGTTAATTAACCCATAAATAACCTGTATATATAATTTTAATGAAGTTAAAATAAATTTATAATTTATTAAATATTATAAAATTTTAATATATTTTATTTATTCTTCATCTTCTAAATTAATAACATTTGCTTCAAATCCAAATATACTATCATTATCAGAACTATTATTATTATCATCTTCTTTATTTTCATTATCAGAACTATTATTACTATCTTCTTCATTTTCATTAAAATTACTACCCATTTAGCTGTATGAGATTCTTCACCAGAATAAATAGCATCAAAGAATAATGGTTTTGGAGTACAAATAACAAAATTTTGAACTGATTCTCGATTAATATTAGACCAACCATCTGAAACCATTGTAAGAGATTTAGCTTGTAAAATTTGTTCATTACATTCAGCTTTAACTTCATCGAAAACATCATCAAGTAATTCATCAGCAAGTTTTCTTCGATTAGGTAATTTGAATGCTGGACGTAATTGTTGAAAAAACTGAATAACATAATTATTTTCAAGAAAAGAAAAAGGAACTCCAGCAGCAAATAATGCTTGAGCTAGTAAAATTTCAAGAGTATCTTGTTCTTCTTCACTCATACGATCAACAAAATTCTCAATTGTTGTATTTTTTAAATGCTTTTTTGATGTTTTTACTGTAGGAATAAAAGTAGAAGTAGTAGCATCAGAAGTTTCTAATAGTTCAGGAATTTGTTGTTTCTTTGTTTTTGCACTTTCTGGAGCTCTAGGACAACTATCATTAAGATGAACTTGCATTCTTTTAGCTGTACCTTGTTCAAAAACTTTAGAACAATAATTACAACGTACAGAAGGATGTGTTTTTTTCTTAGACCTACTACTTTCTTCATTACTTTCTGCTTCAGTAATTATTGTCCAATGTTTCCAAACAGTTCCCTTTTTTTTTACCATGATAATGAACAATAAATTTGCAAAAAAAAAGTGTTTTTTTAAAAAAAATTTATCTTAAAAAAAAGATCATGCAATATGTAGATCATAGATTTAATCAATATTTATATTAATTAATATTTAATTGTGTAACAAAATAATGGATTATCATTTAATCACATGATTTAAATTCTGCATTTTGATTGGCTAATTATAAATAACGGTTAATTAACCATTTTAAATCAATCATAACTAACAAAATTAACGGTTAATTAACCCCCATCCCTAATAGCGGACCATAAAATATTATTGTTGATTTTATTGAAAAGTCTCGGTGAGATTGAATGTAAATTTCTCGTCTTGTAGAATGAATCTATGGCAGCTTGAGAGTCCGTATGAATATTAACAAAACAATTACTAGGACATACTATTAACGCAGTTAAAATAGCCATTGTTTCCGCTTTGGTTGATGACGGAAAAAATCTAAGAGATCCATTGTAAGTGATGTTAGTACCAGTAAGGTTTGAGGTTGTCCATCCATAACCCATAGGGAAACCCTCATGTATATTAGTAGGATCATAAGAGCCATCGGTGTATATGTCAAGAATTGTAAACGAATTAAGGTTAATGGAAATTACTTTCATATCCTCTGCGATTTTGATATCGTCGATTAGGCAGGTGATTAACTTATCATTGGTTGAAGAGCGTATGACTGAGTCAGAATTTAACGAAGGTGGTGCAATCAGTCTAAAATCAACTGTGGAGTTATGTCCCTGTTGTAATAAGAAATCATTAAAGGCTAATAGACGATAATGAGGATGACTATATTTTAATAGTTGAAAAGAATTAATCGTAATAGCAGGACGTGGGGAAAGTTCTTCTCGTTTCTTCTTGCTAAAAGCATCTATTAAAATTAAATCTTGATGTTTGACTTGAATAATACATTTTGGTCTGAGATTACCAACATAATATGTGAAATGCTGAGCACATCCTTGGCATTTAGTAATAATGTTGGGCAATGAACGTGGTGTTGTAGAAGGAAGCGTAAACGTCAAATCTTTGTGGATCCAATGTTCTAAATATGATACTGGTAAACAATTAGGGAAATGGCTCGTACTCATAAGTTTGCCGTATGTGATGTCAGATAAGTGTTGTGTCCAAGTAGCAACCCATTGTTGAGATTTTTTTGGATGGTGAAGAGTTATTGGATCTACCGGTGGGATAGCAGGGCGTGGAGCAGAAGGGTTTTGAATAATCGGTCTATCTAAATCAAAATATAGTCTCCCTTGATTGTTGATGGTGATATTATCTTTTAAAAATTGATACCAACGGGGGATTTTACCGCCTTTGTGAGTAAGATGCTTTTTTATATCCTTGTAATCCTCCAAGTAAGCGTGATCTTTTGTAATAATGTGGTCCAAGAACATGATACCTTTGTTCTTAATACTATTTAAATGAGCAAATAAAAATTTTTTATCTATAATAAAATGTGAAAGCGGATAAGAACCTCCTTTTGTAGTAAATTTAAAATTAGACGAAAGAGAAAGATTATAAAATTTAAAAAAAGTTAAAAGTGATTCTATTCTAGAAAAACATCGTAAAGGTTTATCAAATAAATCAAAAAAAAATTAATAGGAGAATTTGGTAACCAATATTTTTGCTGACATAATAAGAATAAAAATTTTAAAGTATTTGAGGTATGCGGGCAATTTGCTTGTGCGACCAATAAAGAAGATTGGACTTTTAGTTGATGATCGAAAAAATTTACTATATTCGGGTATATGTTGCTGTGTAATACAGAGTTATATGTACTTTTAGGGAGAGATAAAGAGTGTTTAAAAGTGGATCGCAAAGAGATGTTGATTTTGTTACATTGATTAATAGAAAGTATGAAGTGTTGTGGTAAAAAAGCTTCCTAAAAAGCATTAATGATAAAAGATATACACTTCAATAAGATCACGTGACTAAAAGTAGTGCGCCTTTGTCATCTTTCATGACCGTTAAAACTAAAATAATAGAAGTTTTTATCAACACATTTTGCCAATTAAAAACATAATTATATAGAATTTTTGAATTAATTAATTATTAAATATATGGTCAAAACTTGGATGGAATAATTCGTTATGAAAATCCTGTTCTGAACTATAATAATAGTTGCCATCAGAATTAATTATGACATACAAAACTTATACTGTAATACCCGAATAATTCTTATTTTGATAGTTACGATTTTTATCCAGATAAATATCCGATTAAAAAATATCCGGTTTGACCCAGAATCCAGATTTACTGTTAATCACTCTTATTTATAATTTATGTATCATAATTAAATTTTTACATATGATTACTATATGTAGATAAGTAAGTTACTTTGCAGAAACCCGTGATTTATTACCATCCATTAAATCACAAACGATCTCGTGAAATTGCCGATAACATATCTTTACGAAGTTGTAAAATGCTATTAAATAGGTGGTGAATATGGTGAATAGGTGATTAATAACATCGAGAATTGGTAGTGAAAATTAATCTAAGATATTTCTTAGTATTAAATATTATTTAGTGATGAATCTGCCAATTTATTTTTTATATAAATTTGATAATTTTTAACATCGGGAAAAGCCTTATGTATCATGTGATACACGTGATATTATAAAATAACTATAGTGGTCTAAACTATAAAAATAAACTATTTTTATAAACATTTTTTCAACAAATTTTCCCTTTTGCTCTTTACAGTTTACCTTTCATTTCCCCCATTTCTTTCCTTCATTTTTCTCTTCATTCCTTCTCCCCTTCATTGTTTTATATCTTTTTAAAAAAATTTTTTTTTCTGTTAAAAAAAACTCTGTTTTAAATTTGCTTAAAACAAATTTATTCTTCTTCACAATTTTTTTTAACCATCATATTTTTAATTTTTTTATAAATTTCATTTTTCTTCCCTCATCCTTTCCTTCTTCTCTCGTATTTTATTTAAAAGAGTTGAAGAAAACCTACAAAAAAAATCAAATTCTATAACGATAATGAAACATTATAACATTTCAATTTTTTTTTTTTTTTTAGGCAGCTCCCTCGGTCTCCTATGTGACATTTTGTAAGTTTTAGAAAAATTGTTTTTAATTTATTTAATGAACGGTCACTAACAGTTCTTTTTTTTTAGGTAGTTCTTCGGGTCTCTTTGGACGCGTGGGATTTTTTTTGGGGTAAGTTTTTTTTCTTGTTTTAGTTTATTTATTCTAACGAAACATATGTTAACGTTTTTTTTTTTAGACAGGATGGACACATGGGAAAGAAAATCGGGGTTATATGTTTTTTTCGAATTTAATTCTTTTTGTTTTAGGTGACTTTTCTAGATGGGAGATGAGATTTTGATGGGAGGGTTTTTTTAAATGATTTTTTCGTGAAATGTTTACTAGCATTTCATTTTTTTCTTTTTAGATATCGATGAGGTACCTTTTCTAAGCTTAGGGATTTCATGAGAGTTGAATTAAACCAAATCAGTTTAAAGATGAGTACCAAGAAGCGAAAATCTTAGAACTTTACAATGGAATTATGAAAGATAAATGTGAGTTTCAAAATAATTTCAAAACTAAATTTAAAAAGATATTTTAATAACATTTTTGTTCATCTCTTTCATAAAACACCAGCCCCACCTTTGTTACCGGAACCCCGAAGGTGTGTTTCAGAATACTTTCAAAGACTTTCTTTTTAAAAACTTTTTTTGCGTAATAACCTTTATTTATTTATTTATTCTTATTTATTTATTTATTTTTTAGAGGAATGGCTCCCAATATATATAGAAATACAAGAATTCTAGTAAGTTTCAAAAATTTTGAAAAAAATGTTATTAATAGGACATTTAACATTATAGGAAAATTAATATCTATGTTTAATGAACAATTAGTTTTATTTATAGATTAGAATAATTCGTATGATTAGATTTAGGATAGAGCAATTTAATATTTCTAAAATAAAGTTTATAATGCATCAACTTTAAAATAAATAAACTAGCAACTTTAATATTTGTTTACTATAACTTAAACATGCATTTAATATAATTTAAATATACTTTACTATATGTTTTCGATTTCAATACTATTTTTGCACGAGCCGGTTAAATCGGGTGACGATTTCCTTAATATACATCAACTTTATACATACGACTTATAATCAAGATTTGGTCACGATATGGTATTAATTCTTTACGATAAGTTCTATGATAAAGTTTTGATATAGCTACAACTTACGATATGGGTTTGATTTTAAAGTTTTTGCAAAGTATACTATTAACTAAAAAATTATCGTGTTAAATTATTTTAGTAATTACATATGTATTTATTTTTCATTGGCAAAAAAAATGAAAAACTCATTTTATGTACTTATTTATTATAAACTATTAAGGTACTACGTTTTACTAAATAGTTATATTAAATTTGCTACAATATGTACTATGCTTGTAAAAGTTGTGACGTAGTCGCAACTTTGTGTCAATTTCCTTTTTTGGAATCATAACATCACGTGATATAATGCGAAAAAATCGACCCGGCATTACTGAAATTAAGCAAGTTGCCGTAATTATTACTTATGGCGTCTATCCAAATTTTTTTTCATTGGACAGGTTTTAGACAGATCACATGACAAAAAATTTAATAAATTATATATAATAACTTTAATGGCCAGAATTATGACTAATTTTGGCTAATATTTTGATTTTAGTTCAATTATTAAATTATCTCAAAAAATCTTTAAATATTAGTATTTTTAATATTATTTGATTCTACATTAATTTTTTATCATTTAATATATTAAATATTTACTTTTTTAACTCCAACATTATATTTATATTTTATTTTTAGTTTAATATTAGAACTTTTGAACAATTTTAAATTGTCCAAAACTATGTCCAAAACTGGTTTTGGACAGTCCAAAATAGTCCAATTAAAAAAAGCAATTGGACAAGTCCAAAAACCCAATACTGGGCCCGTCCGCCCGCCTATAACCGTATAACGGATCAAATTTCTAACCAGTTATAGTCAAAATGATTCGATATATCGTATCACGAGATCATGAACCAAGTAACGTGATAATATTTGGCCAGAATTATAATAATCTTAATTCTGGCCAAAGTAATTAAAATTTTATATTCACTTCTATGACTTAAAACTGTGTATATTAATTTTATTAGTGTGAGAAAATTTTTAAAATTTTTCGCTATACCGAATATCCCAATAAACCGGATAAACCGAGATCCGGTTTATCGAATTTCACTAGTATTTATTTATTTGTTTGTTTATTTATTAAACATTATTACAAATACAAAAGCGGAATAATTTGTACTTGTATCACAAATACCTATGGCGCATTATTTTATAATAAAAGTTATTTATACTGAATCAATTTAATAAACATTTTTCATGACCTCTATGACTTAAAACTAAGTGTATATTAATTTTATTATTGTGAGAAAATTTTTAAAATTTTTTCGCTATACCGAATATCCCGACAAACCGGATAAACCGATAGATCCGGTTTATCGAATTTCACTAGTATTTATTTATTTATTTGTTTATTTATTAAACATTATTACAAAATACAAATACAAAAGCGTAATAATTTGTACTTGTATCACAAATAATGTACCTATGGCGCATTATTTTATAATAAAAATTCTAATGTATCAATATATTTATTTTATAAAATTATTTGAAAAATTTTCTGGTGAAATATTTGATAATCATTTAAATTATACGTTTCGCAACATCCATAATTTATTTTACTACAAGTAAAATAGAATAGAGAAATAGATAAACAGTAAAAGAGAAGTCTAATTATTTAAAGGGAAACGTCTTTGAATATTTTGTACACTTATTCATAAATATCATGTGTAACAATTCAAAATTTATAAAAATCTTGTGCCAAACTTAAAATTCGATATAATACACTATTCAAGAAATTTGTCTTCAACAAATTATACGTAATTTTATTATGCACATTGCGCAATAAGCAATCTGTTTACAACATATGACTTAAAATGACGTAACTAAATTAGTAATATGGCGTAATTAATTAAGAGTTCGGATTTGGCTAGACAATTGATATTTTATTATTATTTAGCTGAAAATTGATAGTTTAATTTTGTATCACGTGAACGCAGCTGCATATTACATCATAATCACGTAATTACACGATCGTTTACGACGTTACGTGTAAACTCCTACCGAAAAAATATATATATTAAAAGGGCTTTTTTTTTCCTTTAAATTCTTCATGTTTTCCTTTTATTTAAATAATGGTCGATAATAAACTTTTACCGAAATTATCACAAAATTTAATCGAAATGTTAAATGATGAAGAATATTACGATGTTACAATTGAAGTTGGTAATGATCCTAACGTAAAAATATTTCGTGCTCACATGGTAATTTTAAATTATCGTTCTCCTTATTTGAGAAGAATTTTGTCGACCAATAATAAAAAGAATAATGATGAAAATTTGACATATATTAAATTACCAAATGTTTCACCTGAATTTTTTCATATAGTATTAAAGTATGAAATATATTGTTTTCTTTTCTTTTCTTTTTTATTTTTTTGCTCTTTTACGTATCATTTAATTTAACAACCGTTTTTATTTTACTTTTTTTTGTTTCAGATATATTTATGGGGGAATACTAACTTTTGAAAAATATGATACTTCCGATATCATAAAAATTTTGGTCGCCGCTAATGAACTTGGCCTTCAAGAATTAATTCCCTATTTGGAATCTTATTTAATTGAAAATAAAAAAAATGGGTTGGAAGAGAATTTTGATTTAATATATCGAACAAGTTTTGAAAACGATTCTTTCTCAGAACTTCAAAAATATTGTACAGATTTAATTTCAAAAGAACCAAATAAAATATTTAGTTCATTAAATTTTTCTTCGATTCCAGAAAAAATATTAATTACAATCATTCAAAATAATAGCCTTCAAATGAGTGAGATTCAAGTTTGGGAACATGTGATTAAATGGGGACTCGCACAAAATCAAGAACTTCCTTCTGATCCTACAAATTTTTCTAAAGATGATTTCAATTCTTTAAAGATTACTTTACAACATTGTATTCCTTTTATTAGGTTCTTTAATTTAGATTCAAAAGAATTTTCAAAGAAAGTATTACCTTATAAAAAAATTTTACCAAAAGAATTATATAAAGATTTATTAGATTATTTTTTGGATAATGATAGCAAAAAGTCGATACCTCGTATAATTAAAGAGAAAGAAATTTATTCAAAAAACATTGATTCTAAAATTATTACATTTCAGCACGCTGAATTAATTACAAAATGGATTGATAGATTAGAAATTACAGATAAATTAAAAACTTCGTATGTATTCAAATCGTTATATCGTGATTCTCGTGATGGGTTAAGTGGATCATTTAGATTTGATAAATTTTATGAAATCTGTAAAAATCAATCTCAAACATTATTAGTTATTAAAATGAAAAATTGTAACGAAATTATTGGAGGATATAATCCAATTGAATGGAAATTTAATGATAGTTATGGCGTAACTAAAGATAGTTTCATATTTGCTTTTGGTGGCAAAGGTACTAAGCATCATATTATAAGTCGTGTAATTAATGAAACGAAAGCAATATATGGTAGTTTCTTTACCAGTTTTGGTCCATCTTTCGGTGATAAAGATTTGTATTTAAAAAAAAATAGTTATAATAATGAATTAAAAGTTATTTGTAACAAAAATGATTATGAAAAGCATATTAGAAATACCAATAATTCATGTTTTGTAGAGGAATTTGAAGTATTTCAGGTCGTTCCGTTATCTAAATTCAACAAAAATTGATGTATGTATTTATCAAATAAAATAGAAGATTTTAAATATACGAAATAAATTGATCGAATCAATTAATGATAAGAAAAGAGAAGACCTATCGGGTGAAAATATTCCCGGTTTATGTAGATTTTTTCTTTATTAGGTCTTCACTTTTCTTTTAGGTATGTAGGTTGGGAGTGTAGGTTGTGTATGGACGAATGGACTGAATGGTGTGTTTCTTTTCATCCCACTTCTGTTATTCGTACCCTCTCCCTTATGTAATTGTTTATTTTTATATTTTATATTTTATATTTTATTTATATTTTATTTTATCATTAATTATATTAATTATTAGTTATAGTAATTCACATAAAAACATTTTAATAGAACTTAAATTTATTTTTTTGAAAGTACTTATATTTAAGCATAATTTTCATTTTTCAAGTAAATAAATGAAATTTTAAAGAATACATTTAAGAAAATAAAATAAATATTTCTAATTTCTCATTAATCGGCAACTGCAAACTAATGGTAAAGAGTAATAATTTCTCTCTCTTTTAACTCGAATCCCTTCTTGTTGAGTTAGTTTGTCATTTAACTTTCGAATAGCGCAGTAAAATTAATAAACCGCGCCGCTTAACTTTCATTTTTCAACGAATTGCGCAGTAAAGTTAATTAAACCGCTCCGCTTAACGTGATTGTAAATTAGGGATGGCAACGGTCACGGTCATTAACCGGTTATGACCAGTCATGACCGTGACCGATATCGGTCGGTCAAAGCCTTCTGACCGACCGTTTGACCGATCCTTTAACCGACCCGCAACGTTTTTTATTAAAAAAGTGTGAAAACATTTTTTTTTTTTATGAAATTATTAATAAAAAAAAATTTAATAAAAAACGTTTTCATAACGTTCTATTAAAATAATTAAAAAAAACGTTGCGAAACTTTTTTTTATAAAATATTTTAAAAAAACATTTTCGCAACGTTTTCTATTAAAATAATTAAAAAAACGTTGCGAAACGTTTTTTATTAATTACTTATTAAAAAACGTTGCGAAACGTTTTTATTATCAAATCACATATTACAGCTGATTTCATAATGTACGCAAATTTTAAAGAACTCGGAATTATTCGGTAAAGCTCAAAATAAGATAAAATTATACCACCATTCTCGGAATAGTACTTCAAAATAAGCGTATAATTTTTATTTTATATCAAGCTTTACCGAATATTTCCGAGTCCTTTAAAATTTGCTAAGTGTATAAATTATTAAATTATCTATCTCTGATCATTAGTTCATAATGTAGCTTAAGTAGAAGTGCAGAACATTAAACAATATATATTTAAAATCCCGCACATTATGAAATCAGCTGTAATAAGAAACACGGCGTTTAGATTCTTGATAACCGACCTCTAATTTTGATAAGAAAGTTTATAGATCAGTCAAACGGTCGGTCAAAGGTTCTTGACCGGTTATGACCGACCATGACCGACAAGGTCTGTGTACAAGATAATGAAGATCTTATTACCTTTTTTGGATACTGACCGAAATTATCACAATTCTGGCCCTGAAAAAATGTGTAGTGAAAATTTTTTTTGGCTGCCCATACACTGCCCATACAAAAAATCAATTAACGTTCAAGGATAAGAGGTTCCGCATGTTTGTTATGATTTGTCCGAATTCGTTAAAAAGAGAACTTTATCATGTTCTGTTACCCACGTACATATCTTGTAGAAATTTATTTCTTTCATAAAAACGCTTTTTTTTAATAAGGCACGTGATTTACTGATAATATTCCTCTTTTTTTTATATTAGGTGACAATATAATACCATTCAGAGCTTTTTTTTTTTTAAAAAAAAAATAGTTAAGAAATCGTGTTAGAAGTATACTGATAAAAAAATGGTTATTCAAGATCACGGAAATCTTTTGTAATTATGTATTAATGAAAAGAGAAAGTAAAGGTATTATTATAAAAGAAAACATTAACATTAAATATAATGTTATCAAAGACAAGACAGAAAATGTCTTTTTTCATTCAGTTATAAATAAATAAAAATAGTTATATATTTTATAGGCTCATCTAATTGAAATTAATTTCAAAGCCTTGTTTAGTCTTTCTGTCACATCAGCTCTTATGACTATTAGTAACCCCATAAAAAGTAATAGCTAATTGTTAAATCCTTAAAGGTCATCAGCAACAGCGTAAGTAAATTTACTCAAGAAACGAGAGATGATGTTAAATACAAGTTCCTTGATAAAAGGTCGAAATTATCAACCCAAGTGACGAATCTCTATAATCTCATGTACTATTAAACAAGAGTTATCAAAATTTAATGTAGAACTTTTATAGTAAAGTGTAATCCAGTATTAGTCGTAAATGGTACTTCAACTCTTCCATTAGGAAAGTCATCTGGAGTAAGTGAATCATTAACTAATTTTGTTCCATCTATTTTATATGGATAAAGAGCCGTCACCCATCCCGTAATAATACTTGGGCCAGAAAAAAAACTTTGTTTTGAAATTATTTTTGACCAAAATTCTTCATCAACATTGCCTTTATAGGTTTCAACCAATTTCCATACAACAGGGTCCAACCTATCCAACCAAAAATCCATATCTAAGTCTAATTGACGTAATTGAACGACTTTCTCTTGTAATTTTAACCAATCTTCTAAAGTACCTTCAAGAGTAACTTTAGGAATTCCACAAGTAGCATAACATTTAAACGAAAAATATTCTTTAAGCATATCTAAAAGAACGATTCGACTAGCAGTAAGAGAATTTTTCGTTGTTGTAGAAAAATCACATTCTAAAAGAGATTTTACATCAATTTTTTCTACAGCTTGATCAGTTTTCACAACTAACATATTTACTACTTCAGGCCAATTTCCCTCAAGGCGTGAATTATTTTGAAACAAAATTCCATCAATAACAACACCAATCTCTTTTTTACCTTCATGATTAACAAAACGATAACGAAATTTTTCTGCATTATAATTAATATGTTGACTTACTCCTTGTGCTATAGTTAACCAAATATCATCAGGAGTTAAGAGTAAATGTTGATGATTGTTGTAAGCATGAAAAATTGCAGCAGTTAAACCATGAGAAGTCATCGTGTGTTTAAGTACGGATTTATTGATTGACGGAGGTTCATCGTAATCGACTGAAATGGCATGTACAGTTGTATTACGAAAATTCCGAGAAATATTATCATTTATTAAGATATGTTCTTTAAAATCATTCTCAAGATTAATTTTTTTAGTGAGGATTTGAGCGCTCATCTTTCTTGAATTTTCTTTTGAAAAATAAAAATGTGCGAAAAATAAGATATCTATTTAAATAAGATTTTAACGTGAAAATTCAACAACTTTTTTTGCTATTGTGGACACCATTAAATCTGCACGTCGTTATTTGCAATAACATATTTGAGTATTTTAAATAAGATTGTAACGTGAAAATCGCCCATTTTTCATTGTTAAATCTGCACGTCCTTATTAAGTAAGAGGTTATTCAGTACTAGTACGAATTTGATCAAACCGATAGGCCCTGTTACCTTGATGCTTAAATAATGGTTATTTAGGCACCAATGTCCATCTAATCATAATGGTTATTTGAACACCAATAGGACCTCGTAAAAAGGTAACAATACAGAGTTAACGTATAATGAAAAAAAAATAATCTGCACTATATCCTTCCTTTTTTAGATAATACCAGGCGGAATTACGCTAATAGTAAATGAGCGCCAATCTCTTGTTACCTATTTATACATTGATTCCTACACCGATTTCCATTTACCATAATGGTTATTTGGACCATTTAATAATAAGTTATTTGAATATACAGTAATATATAAAAAAAATTTTATCAATTGTACGCGTACTGGTTTTCAAACATATAATATCGTTATTTGTAAGAACAATAATCACATGATCAGTTACAGTAAAGTAATCAAATGATTTATTATTTCAATTTAAACGTACGACCTGGAAAACTATATATAAAGGTTACCGCCAAAAAATCAAAAAAAAATAGGAGTGAGAACCATAATATGATTGGTTGTTTTGCTGTTTACTCACATGTTTCTATTTCAAATATAGTAATAGGGCCAAGAAAGGAAAGATTTTCACAAAAAAATTCTTATTGTTGCGAACCAACACGTGACTTTTACTAATTAATTTGGCGGTGACCTTTTTGAAAATTAATTATAGCCTCGAATCATGTTTGGCGGTAACCCCTATTAGAAGTTTTCCAGGTCCTGCTGGAAAATCATGTGATTTTCGTAAATAATTTTGATTATCAAATTACGCTTTCTATTATGTATGTAATTAAGCATTCGAGGCGTAACAATCGTAACATGTATTAACACATGGTTGTGTACAATTTTTTAATAAAATCATACGGATCAGAAGTTTTTAATCTATTTGAAAAAAATGAGCTGAAACTGATTATGCACGATACATTCGACACATATTGTCTATAATATTTATAAAATACTGTAAGTCTGAATGAAATATTTATCTTACAAATCTGTGCTATGAACAATATTTCTTGAATATCATTTGAAGTGTTAGCTCTTGAATCATTTTAGCCAGCTATGATTGATAAATTTTGTACTTTATTATCAACATTTATTTTCAAGGCGGTACACCACATTTATGGCTAAAAAAATTTATTTGTGAATAAATTATGAATATTATTTATTCTCGTTCCAAAACTATAAACATTTTTGTTTTTTACAAATATATGTGATTGAATATATAAATTTTCTTTAATTTCTCATTTTCTTTATAATTTTATTTCATAAACATATCAAGAACAAAGACTTATTTTTGAGGAACCAAATCTTGTAGAGTTCTGCTATAAAGATAATCATCCGTAATTACAGCTAATAAATGGTTAAATCGTTATTATAACACTGGTTATTTCCTTATCTCGAATTTCTTTATAAATAGAAATCTATAAAATTGTCTTCACTTTTATATTGTAAATTTGATGATATAATCAATTTGAACTTTGAAGTCTGTGAAATTAAAATTTCTAAAGTTTCTTAATTTAAAATATCCTGTAATTTTTTTTTTATTGTATTATACGATATCACTTTTGGACGTACTTTTCAAAATGCTTAATCTATTATTGCAATATTTTATTAAAAAATTTATTCCGCAAATTCATTGTAACTCAAATATTACAAAAGTCGATAATAAAATCTTGTCGTTTTCTTTTAAGAATAAAAAAAAAGATAAAAATATTTTTAATATTTTAATTATTTAAGTAGAAAATGAGCAAAAGAATTTAAAAGTAAATATTCGGCTATATTATTATACCTAAAATGTAAGAATTTGTTATAGTGATTATAAATTTTCCAAAAAGTAACTGCCATTTATTCATTATTATAGATTAAACATGTTACTTATCTCGACCTTTTACTTTCTCAAATTTGAATCTCGATCATATTTTGCTGCGCCTCAACGTTGGTCAGGTGATGATAACTTTTTTAAAGACTCAGCTAAGAGATGGTAACAGGGACGATGATTTTTTGCGGCGGTATAAAGTAAATTTTGTGTGTGATAAAAATAAATTTTGTGAAATTTTGTGATTTGGCCAGAATTATGCAAGGTTGGCCAACATTACTATTCGTAAATTCTGGCCAAATTTAGTGTCTGCCGGAATTATAATGATTTCAAATCCTAAATCAGGCCAAAAACTTGAAAATTATCAACATTTTTATAACCAAATTTTGTGATTTTCTGTGAAATTCTGTGATCACAAAAAATCATCGTCCCTGGATGGTAACGATATTTTATTAAAATATTCCGCGTTTTTTTTATTCAATTATGAAATTTATTAAATGTTTGCCATAAATATAAACGAAATGCTGTGAGATAGTCTTTTATTATTATAACCGGCGGCTAATCAATAAATAAGAAGAATTAATATTAAATAGTAGTAATAGGTCAAGAAATATAATGATAAATATACCTAAATCTCGTGATATCACACTAGAATTTTCTATATTAAATAATAATTTTGTGTTAAAGAAAAAAGAAATACAATCTGCTCGAAATTCACTGAAAAATAGTTTGATATACAATTGAAATTGATAATAAGTATAATAATATTTCGTGCTCAACAAATATATTAAATTGTCATTTACTAGCCAAAATTTAAATAATTAAAAGGAAAAATGGTAAAACTTTTAAATTACTAAATATCTTGACCGAAATTTTTAGTGTAAGAAAGAGCATAAAAAAAAAATAATTGTTTTTTATTCGCTAAATATATCTTTAGCCTACAAACGTTTATTAATTTAACACATTTATAGAGGAAGGCTTTTCTTGGAAGTGTATAACCCATAAAGATACTGTAAATTATTAAGCCCAACCAATAGAAAATCTAGTTCTGGATCATGTGATCGTGACGTCACGACTGCCACGTGTTAAATCCTGTTAAATGTTAAATAAGGATTAATCGACTAACCTTGTGCTCGAAAATAAAGTATATTTAAGGGTTGAAAATTAGGTTTTTTTTTGGAATTCTCATTTTCTATAATGGATGATACTAAACTTTTGTCGAAATTGTCACAAAATTTACTCGAAATTTTAAACGATGAAGAATATTATGATATTACAATTGAAGTTGGTAATGATCCTAACGTAAAAATATTTCGCGCTCATATGATAATTTTAAATTATCGTTCTCCTTATTTGCGGAGAATTTTATCAACTAATAAAAAGAAAAATGATGGTATTTTGAACCATATTATATTGCCAAATATTTTACCAGAAATTTTTCAAATAATCTTAAGGTATTAAAGAATTAACGAATAATTTTAAAATTTTGTTATTATATTTCTAATTTTATTGTCGTTTTTTACTTAGGTATATCTATGGAGGAACAATTTCTTTAAAAGAATATAATATTACCGATATTATTAAAGTCCTAATTGTTGCTAATGAACTTGGCCTACAAGAATTAATACGTTATTTAGAATCCTTTTTGATTGAAAACCAATCAAACTGGATGGAGCAAAATTTTGATTTGATATATCAAACAAGTTTTGAAAATAATTCTTCACTAAGACTTCAAAAGAATTGTACTGATTTAATTCTAAAAGAACCAAATAAGATATTTGATTCTCCAAAATTTTCTTCAATCCCAGAAAATCTTTTGGTTGCGCTTATTCAAAATGATAATCTTCAAATGGGTGAAATTCAAATTTGGGAACATGTGATAAAATGGGGACTTTCTCAAAATCCAGAACTTCCATCTGATCCTACAAATTTTTCAAAAGAAGATTTCAATAATTTAAAGAATATCTTACGACAATGTATTCCTTTTATTAAATTCTATAATCTGGATTCAAAAGAATTTTCACAAAAAGTATTACCTTATAAGAAAATTTTACCAAAAGAATTACGTGAAGATTTATTAAATTACTTTTTGAATAATGATAGAAAAAAATCAGTACCTCGTATGCTTAGTGATGGCCATTCAACAAAAATTAATTCTGAAATCATTACATTTCAACATACTGAATTAATTTCAAAATGGATTGATAAATTAGAAATTAAAGAAAAGTTGATATCTTCTTATGAATTCAAATTATTATATCGTGACTCTCGTGATAGACCTATTGAATTACATAATAGATTTGAAAATTTTCATAAAATTTGTGATAATCAATCTCGTACAGTAACAATTATTAAAGTTGAAGACAGTAATGAAATTCTTGGAGGATTTAATCCGATTAAATGGAAAACTGACGGTAATTATGGTGTTACTAAAGATAGTTTTATATTTACTTTTAATAATGATGGTATTGAAGATTATATATTAAGTCGCGTAAAGAATGAAAAGAAGGCTATATTAAATTGTTCTATGTATGATGGTTTCGGACCATTATTTGGTGACAAAGATCTGCTTTTATATCAAACTTTTGATAATGAATTAAAAGTTAGTTGTGAAAAAAAGGATTATGAGAAGCGAATCAGAAAAATCAATGATTCACGTGTTTTAGAATTTGAAGTATTCAAAGTTCAAATTGTGTATTTTTAAAATTTATAAAATAATTAATATTTGTAATTGATTAATGTTTTAATATAAAGATCTA